TATTGTATGCATTTGCTTTTCGAAGAGCAATCTGTTCCTTGGCGTATATCATTTCATACGGTTGAGATATCTTTGATAAAATCTGTGTGGCTTCATCAGGCACGTAAAATTGTTTTCCGATGCGCATTCGAATCCGATTGGTGACTCTTAGGTAAAGTCTTACGTCGTCAGTGAATCCAGATAATGAGAGCACTTGTAGATCGTAAAGGGTACCTCGATGGTCTGGTTGGAGAGCTCTCTCTACGCCCTCCTGCGAATTTATCAGGTATTCCAACCATAGCGAAGCGAATTGTTGTAGGTCAATGTATTCATTGTGCGTCAGCGATTTTGTTCGATAAAGTAATCTACAAGCATCTAGAAAGTGACTAGGGTCCGTATCAATTAGATCGTATGGAAATATTGAAGAATTGCTGTGATCATTTAATTCGATATCATGCTTTCTCTTGAATTTTGGAACAATTCTTGGAATCTTGTTCAAATGCGGAAAACCGTAACCCTCGTTATTTGTGGAATCCGAATTATTTTTGTACGAGGTGATCGTTAACTCATCTTGCTCACAGATTCCATATGACGAGAGGATGAATGATCGAATTAAATTTGCCGCCCAACGAGAGTATCGAACATTTCCAGAGAAATAATGGGCAAGCGTCAATGTGGTAACATTTTCAAACAACGATGCGGTAGAGAAGTTAGGTGGCGTTGTAGGAGTGGTAGAAATGTATTGCCCGAATTCATTTTTGTGGAACCCTTCGGGCTGAGGATCTATATTAGTGGGACTCAATTTCACAGTTTCATGCCCGTCAATTGAAGTCGACGATGTATCTTTTTCTGATGATTTCGATACATCATCTCCAAAATCACGATCCTCCTTTAATTCTAAGAATTTGATCAGGTTATTCGAATCTACGGGTAACGCGTCATTTAGCTTGTACCGGTCGCCAATGGACGAAACAATCTCGTTTGCCCGATCAATCATCACATCCACAATTTTCGAGACCTCCTGACGGCCTGTCCAGTAATCCAATCTGGCACGACTTAATTTCTTTTCGTCATATAACGACAAACGATTGGGATTGAATTTTTGATTCACCCGCGCAATCCGTTCATCAATTCCATCCAAAAAATCTTGAATTGCAAGCAAACGACTGAATGCTCGCAGCATTCCGGATTCCTCAAGTGACGCTTGTCCCGAGAAAAGTCTAAAAATCCATCCTACCGTCTTATACTTTTTTTGAGGTGGAGTAAGATATGAGACGTCTTGAATTTCCCAAGGTACCGAAGGTTTATTAAGCATTCGTCTTGGTGTGGGAACACCTAACCGCCACAACATTTCCAGCTGCATGTACAAGAAAGACGTTTGATTATTAATTTGTGATGTCATAATATTTTCCTTGTATTGAAAAGAAAACATACCTTCGATCTTCTACCATATCGCATATTTTCATTATACATTTCCTGGGCATCGTATCGAAATATGATTTGTGGTTCTAAGGACAAATTTTAGTTACTACGAGACAACACCTTAACTGTAATTATCTGATCTGGTAACAATAATTCTCACCTTCTGGAGTGGAAGGCCGCTGATCAGAACCTACCAATAACTCGGTGTTGTTCAGTAACCTTTTCATGGGCACTAGAAAATATTTATATTCATCCCCCCATTTCTCAATCTGTGAAATGATGTCGTTGAATCCGTTGGTAGTCAAAAAACAATTTCCGTCGAATGGCATTATCCATCGGGCATTTGGTTGAGATTTTCCGTGCATCAGTGCGGCATTCCTACCACCATTCTTTTGGGAGAAAAATTAAAGGATGAAAAGAACCGTAAATAATCTGACATCAATTGAATCCTCATTTCACATCATCATCCCCTACCAACACCTACGTTGTTCATGGCATAGAGATTCTTGTCGTGATATGTATAGTCGATGGTTCTCAGCTTTGCCACTTTCGAGAAGTTCATATATTCATAACTATGAAAAAAATCAGGCTCCGGGAAATCCTCCAGACGGAAATCCTTTTTTAGGTACTCATCGACCTCAAAAGGTATCCTGACATATTCCTGCCGATAACGTTTCAGCAATTCCAATATGGAATCCTCATATTCCTCATCCACAATTCGATTCAACACCCACCACTTCTTGGTGTTGGGAAATGGAGGTTCGTTTTCCAAAATGAACATCAAATTCTGCAAGACCTGACCAGGCTTATGACGCGGTGGCAGATCGTTACCGAGTATTCGATAGAGATGTATCTGTTCATGAGAGAAT